TGCTGTTGTTGCTGCTGCCGTTGGCGAGGGTGCTGGCGCTGCCTCTGGTGTTGCTGCTGTTGCTGCTGCTGCTTTTGCTGCTGCAGTTGCTGCTGCTGCTGTCTTGCTCAGGTGCAGAGTCGGTGGCATCGGCTGTGCTGCTGCTGCTGCTGCTGCTGCTACACTCCTCCCTGTGAGTTTTGCTGCTGCTGCTGTTGCTGTCTCTGCTGCATTTACTGCTGCTGCTGTCGCTGCTTATGCTTCTCTTCGACTCGCCCTCGTTGTCGCTTCTTTCATTGCTGCTGCTGCTGCTGCCGGGGGGTTCGGCCTGCTGCAGTATCGCTGCTGCTGCTGCTGCTGCTGCTGTTGCTGCTGCTGCAGGGTTTTCCATTTTGGCTGCTGTGCTGCGGAGCTTGGAGTGGACATATACCACGAATTAGGGTTTCTAGATCAGGGTTTGATGCTTGGGTTTAGGGTTTAGGGTTTGCCATGTCTGGGGCCCAAGAAGAGCTTCAGGCGGCAATGAAGAAGAAAAGAACGAAGATTTATGGTTTAGGGTTTAGGGTTTAGGGTTTGGGGTTTAGGGAGCTGCTAGGGTTTAGCACCAATGGGAAGCTTCCAGAAGGACCGCCGGAGGCCCCAGCGGCTCGCTGGCAAGGGTTTAGGGTTTAGGGTTTAGGGTTTAGAATCTAGAACTACATTTATTATTCTCGAAATTAAGTGTAAATCTAATTCTCTTCATTTTCGAGGGCTTAGGGTTTGGGCCCGGGGGTTTAGCGTTTGGGGTTTACTGTGTCTGTACAGCGGGGCCTCCGCGGTCGCCAGCAGCAGCAACGCATAAACCCTAAACCCTAAACCCTAAACCCTAAACCCTAGATAATTGAAGCAGCAGTTAATTTGAATTATTTATGAAGCAAGGGCTCCACAGAACGAAGCTTGAAGACTTAGGGCTCAAGATTCAGGGTTTAGGGTTTAGGGTATAGGGTTTAGGGTTTACTGAGACTAGAGGCTCGGCCGCTCACCCCGAGTGAGGCCTCTTCTCCTCTTCATTTAATTTTTATTTCTTTGTTTCATTTCATTTTGAAATAAAGACAAAGGCCTCCTAAACCCTAGACCCTAAACCCTAAACCCTAAACCCTAAACCCTCGCTGTTGAGTTAAGAGATGGCTGCAAAGCAACACACCTTCTACAACAGCAGCAGCCGCCGCAGCAGCAGCAGCAGCAACCGCACCAGCAGCAGCAGCAACTGCAGCAGCAGCTGCAGCAACTCTGCAGCAGCTACGCAAGCTGGACTGCTGCTGCTGCTACACCACCTGCAGCAGGCCACCTTCCCTTCAAACCCTAAACCCTAAACCCTAAACCATCAAAGATGGGGCGTTTCAGCGACACTAGGGTTTCTGCTTCTACCCTGGAGAACAGCGCAGAAGCCGACAAGCAAACCCTAAATGCTTTGCTGCGAATGGTCAGCCAAACCCTAAACCCTAAACCCTAAACCCTACTTTGCAGCTATGTAGCTTCTTGACTCTGAAACAGGAGACCCTAAACCCTAAAACCTAAACCCAAGCAGCATAAACCCGTCACAGCCTCAAGAACTTCGTTGCTTCGCAGCTTTTAGGGTTTAGGGTTTAGGGTTTAGGGTTTAGGGTTTAGGGTTTAGGGTTTGGTTTCTCAGACCATCGATGCACAGCCTAATGGGCGTCAGGCGAAGATAGTTCAACGCGATTTACCAGAGTAAGCAAACCCTAAACCCTAATCCCTAAACCCTAAACCCTAAACCCTAGATTTAGGGGTATTGAGAGCCTTTAGCATTTAGAAGTTCCCCCTCGCTCTGTGTGCAGGGTTTAGGGTTTAGGGTTTAGGGTTTGTGTGTTGGAGCTCAGCCTGGCTCCCGTGGCAGCGAGAGCCCCTAGGGTTTGCGAAGCTGCTGCTGCTGCTGCTGCTGCTGCTGCTGCCGCAAAATTTAAAATAACAAATTTGCTGTCAGATTGTCTTGGGACACAAACCCTAGAGCAAACGGAGCCGCCTCACGTGCAGCAGCTCAAAAGCGTAAACCCTAAACCCTAAACCCTAAACCCTCGTTGTCTGCGCTGGTTCCTCCACTGCGCAGCAGTTGCGCCCGCAGAGCTGCTCCCCTTCCAAACCCTAAACCCTAAACCCTAAACCCTAAACCCCAGCGTCACTGGTCGCAGCGCGCGCCTTGCTTGGAGAGCAGGGTTTAGGGTTTAGGGTTTAGGGTTTAGGGTTTGTGTTTCAGGAAGTATCGGCTTTGCGGGAATGGGGCCAGAAACTGCGGGCCGGGAATATCGAGGGTCTAGGGTTTGAGAAAGGGCCGCGGGGCCCCTCGGGCCAAACCCTAAACCCTCGCGAGGGTTTAGGGTTTGGAGGGGCGAACAGCTTTGCTGCACCTCTTTTCAAGGGTTTAGAAACTCCCAGCAGCAAAAACAAAAATAAAAAAAATAAAAATAATTATAAACCCTTTTCTGAAGAAGAATTAATTCAAGAACTTCTCAAACAAGGAGAAGACACAGGAAAAGAAAGAACAGTCCGCAGCATCATTGAGTGAGCTAGGGTTTAGGGTTTAGGGTTTGACGTTTAGGGTTTAGGGTTTGGGGTTTAGGGTTTAGGTTTTGGGAGTTGAGTTTTGGAATTTAGAGTCTAATGTTTCGGGTCTAGGGTTTAGGGTTTAGGGTTTAGGGTTTAGGTGGTTTGCGTGCATGTTTGCAGGTTTTTCGAAGGAAATGGAGAACCCTCTCGACACGTCAGGTGCGAATATTTTGTTTAGGGTTTAGGGTTTAGGGTCTAGGGTTTAGGGTTTTGATTCCTACTTCAAACTTCTTATTCTTCGCCTCTCGTTAGCCCCAAACCCTTTTTCGTAGCCGCGACTCCAAGCCGCCTCCCCAGGGTTTAGGGTTTAGGGTTTAGGGTTTAGGGTTTAGGGTTTGTGCAGGCGTTTGGAGTTTGAAAACCGGCAGCTGTGCGCGCTGCGGAAACGCCAAGAAGAAGAAATTAAAAATTTAAAAAAAATAAATTTTGAAAATGAAAAAAATAAAAATAAATTCAAAGATTTGCTGCAGCAGCAGCAGCAGCAACTCAACGACTACAAACTAGCTGCGCAGGCAAGCAAACCCTAAACCCTAAACCCTAAACCCTAGGCTTCAGGCGCGGTCGCAGCAAGGCTGCGCCGGAGAGGGTCGAGGGTTTAGGGTTTGGGCTCTGAAAGGGCTCAGCTAGGGTTTAGGGTTTGGGTCTCTAGGGTTTACGGTTTACGGTTTAGGGTTTAGGGTTTAGGGTTTAGGGTTTGTCTTTTTTCTCACGAAGCCCTTACTCTAATTAGAGCAGCAGATCACCTTCCGTCCCGCACAAGTCTTAAACCCTAGACCCTAAACCCACCTAAACCCTAAACCCTAAACCCTAAACCCAGCCAAACCCTAAACCCGAAACCCAGCCAAACCCTAAACCCTCGACCCAGGCAAACCCTAAACCCTAATCTTCCCACGCCCAAAACCGCAAACCCCCAAACCCTAGACCCTAGAGAGTAGAGCCCACCCGCGCGGAAGCCCCAAACCCTAAACCCTAAACCCTAAACCCTTGCGGTGTGGGTGCAGCTGGAGCTGGAGGCGAACAAAACCACAATTGCTGCGATGGAAAATAAATTAAAAGAAGCGAATGAAAAAATAAAAGAAACAAAAGAAGAATTAAAAGAAACTCAACTCAAAGTTCAAAACATGGAACAGGCCCTGTAAACCCTAAACCCTAAACCCTAAACCCTCAGTTCAGCGACGTGCTGGCGCCGCCGTGTTGCTGAAATTAGGGTTTAGGGTTTAGGGTTTAGGGTTTCCGCTTCGAGCTTGCGAAGCCAAAATCCTAAACCCTAAACCCTAATTTCAGCGATGCTCTGGCGCCGGTGCGTTGCGCCCAGCACTCTGCAGACCCTAAACCCTAAACCCTAAACCCTAATTTGTTTTTCTCGTTTGCTTCAGCGTCGCTAAGACAAAACAGTACTGCGAAATGTCTGCAAAATATGAAGCAGAGAAAGGAGAGTCGCAGCTGACTCGCCCGCCGTAAGAATGAGGGTTCAGGGTTTAGGGTTTAGGGTTTAGGGTTTGGGGTTTGACGGGACTGGTGCTGCGTCTTTTGCCTTCTTGCGGCGAGGGTTTAGGGTTTAGGGTTTAGGGTTTGGGCGACACCCCGGGGGCATTTATACTACGTATGCCTCCCGTGGACGCCTCGGCGTTTAGGGTTTAGGGTTTAGGGTTTAGGGTTTGTGCAGAACTCGGAGGCAGAAATCCTTTGAAATGGAAACAGATGAAGGAACTCTTGCTGAAGCTCTTATTCGTCTTGAGAAACTGGCGTGGACTTGCGAATACCTAGGCGTGAGGGTTTAGGGTTTAGGGTTTAGGGTTTGGGGTTC